GATTCTGGCCCTTTACCAGGTTTGAAGCCATCAGTAAAGATTCTACAATGAGTGGGCCCGTGCTCAGCAGCACTCAGCCTAAAACCAGAACTCTTTAGCCAAGGCAATGTTGGCGTACTATCCTGAGGCATTGAAAATACATTTCCATATAAATCTCTGTCCCAGCAATTTCTGCTTTACCGTTCACTCTTATGTACATATATAAAATGACGTACAAGAAACGGCTAAGAAATTTTCTTGAGTCAAATTTCCTGCATCCAGTACGCAGTTCTAAAGAAATTTGCTACGCTTTGAAGAGCAAATTTGCTGGACGTTATTTGATAAATGTATCGAGTTGTCTAGAACTAAAAGAAAAATAATTTACTCGGTTTTTATTAATAGATAAACACACCCTGTGTATGTCTATAAATATATTTATGTATATAGTTTGTGGGCGGTGACATAAAAGGAAATTTTACCAAACAAAACTTCTCGATGCACACTAACCCCGTAAAGTCCGATCTTGTGGGAGATTTTAGTACAAAGTCGTAATAAGTGCAAAATTAACCCTTAAGCGCCTTTTCAGCTTAGACTTTTTTGACGTACAATACGTCTTACGTTTCGATATGGAGGCTATGCATAAATGATGTAGTTGTAATTTTTAGAACTTCACGAAAACGCTTATTCCACGAGAATTAATGAAGCGATTTCAAAGAAAAGTTTGTCATTTCAAAGACAAAATTGCAAACCTGTCGACAGATTCATTTTTGTAAGTAAGCAATTCGGTTTCTGTCGTTAAAAGAACGGTAAACATTGGCTTATTTCGGGGTTAATTTTGAGCCTTTAAAGTGCTCCAGCAGCATATGATTTGCAGATATAACTTTCATTTTCGGGATACAGATTCTTTGGAGCAATGAAAATATTATTGCGTATAGATTTTATATAAATTCAACAAATATTGAGAATTTTAAGGCAAAAAATTTTTGAAAAATATGCAATTTTTTTGTATACCAAAATTCTGGAAAACCGCTCGAATGATTTTGTTTTTGTTTTCTTTAATCAAAAACTCAGGTGTTTTTCTTTCGTTTGGTATATGGGAAGCATTGGTTGATATCTTCTAAGTATGTTTATTTGATTCAGATATATGGGCATACAGTAAAACCCGCTTAAGTACCTCACGAAAAATGTCAGCTTTTTAAGGTACTTAGGCGGGTTGGGTACTTAAAAGAAAGTTGGACATATCATTTTGTACCAAATTCACAATAATATTGTTTGCCACTTATGTTTATTTATTAATTTTTAAGATTTTTCAATCAATTAAAATGCAGTTCATTCCCTAACAAATGCCATATAAACCTAAGCTTAAGATTTTGTAGAACACTTAAACAAAAAAAATCATAATTTCAAACTTTTTTCTCAGAAGTATTTTTTGAGTATACAGTTTTTTAGCCCATTCAATTTAAGTGCAATAATGTGCAAGTTTCAAGTGGCTAAAAGATACCGTTGATTTTTTAGAATTATTTTACCGAAGGTGTGTGGCGCTGTTACTGAATTTCAAAATACATAAATATTTTAAGGAATCTTAAAAGAGCACTTAAAAGAGGAAAATTATAAGTAAAATTGTAAATGTGGCATGAAAAATTGAGGTACTAAGGCGGGTTGGGTACATAAGCGGGGAGGTACTTAAGAGAGGGATTTTCTTCAGAATACATTAAAAAAATCATGGTGTCCAA